AACAAAGTATTTCATTGATAATGATTAGCAAAAGTTAACAAAGTATTTCATTGATAATGATTAGCAAAGTTAGCAAAATATTTCATTGATAATGATTAGCAAAAGTTAACAAAGTATTTCATTGATAATGATTAGCAAAAGTTAACAAAGTATTTCATTGATAATGATTAGCAAAAGTTAACAAAGTATTTCATTGATAGAAACTAAATTAGCTTTAAATATGAAGTTATTGCTAGCTTCTAACTGAATTATATGCCAAAATTTCCAAAAAAAAGAAAATTTTGGTATATAATTCAGTTAGAAGTCAAAAAAAAAAAAAACAACTCAATTAATGTTTTAATTTTCACATTAACCTAAAATTACCAAAAATCATTTCATTTTAAACATAAAGCATTTAATTGATTAATTATTTAAAATCAATCAAAACTCAAATATGATTCAATTTAATAAATTGGATAAAAAAAAAAAACTGGAAATACCTGATCACCACCGTGAAATAATTCAAGCTCAACAGCTATTGTTTGTACTACCGGATCCGTTTTAATCAATAATTTATCATAATCTAAACCTTGTTCCATGCCCATAATACCATGTATTGCTAGCTAAAATCATAAAATGTTAATAGAGATGTTTAATTTTTTATGAAATCCGTTTTTCTGATTATCGAAAAAAAAAAGGATAAATAAGATAAACTTACGATAAGATAAATGATAAATAGGAGAAGAATGATACATTTAATTCGTTTATCCAATAAAATAGGTACATATGTATTCCTGTTAATAAAGTACAATTCCTGAGAAAATATTTTCAAAATTGGATTAAATTTAAAATTCAACTAATTTTCAAATATAAAAAAAAATTTAAAATACAATTATTTATTATAGCTATAAAAATTTTAATAATTTTTTTAATTTTTTTTTTAAATTATAATTTTATATTTTACAATACAAATAAAACTAACCGAAAAAATAATTTCTTTCGATTCGTAACTTTAGATGTTGAATTTTTTGATACTTTCATCTTATTCGATAATATCATTTTCATATAATCATTATCATTATTACATGATTTATCACTATCATTTGTATATGTATCCTTATCATAACATTTTCCATTTTTTAATTTTTCTATAATAACAAATCATTTAATACTAATTTCATTCATTTCACTTTCAGAAAATTAATCATACAAAAATTCGTAGCTTATTCATTCATAACAAAATAATATTACATTGATAATAATGATAATGATTACATTATATAATGATAAGTCTAATTACATTATATAATGATGAGTATTTGGAAAATTAAAAGTAAACAAATAAAATTTTCGAAAAATGGGAAAAAGTGGAATGTAATAAGTTATATTAAATCCTAAATTGAAATTTCTTAATTCTAAATTAAATTAAATCAAAAATTCGTATAAAAGTTTCCTAAATACAAATTAAATATTTATTTATTATATACTTGCTCTTTTTTTTTTTTTAAAGAGATTTATAGAAAATTAAATTAGAAAGTTACTTGGCTTATATTCATTGCTATTATTTTCATTGTTATTTGTATTTTTAGCAAAATTCCAAACTTTCCTTTCAAATTTATTCATCTGATCATCGATCCTATTATGATCAATTATTGCCAAACATGGAATACACGCATTCCGTCCAAACATTTGCATTTTATCACTAATTACCATTAGCGCAGCAAAGAAAGTAACCTTAATGTGAAAATTAATAACTTCATTTTAATTCATCCTTTCATTTGTTGTTGTTTTTTTTAATGATTAAATTAAATTTGTAACAAGATAAAATTGAATTTTTAAAAACTCTTGCCATTTATCAATGAATGATTAATTAATTTATCATTTATCTTATTTTATCACCCACTTTTATCATTATTTTTTTAAAAGATTATTTATGAAAATAATACAATTTGACCCTAAATATCTTTTTTTTTATTCTCCATCCAATAGCTAACATATATTGGCTCATAATTAGATAAAAACAGAAAAATGAAAAAAAAATTCAAGCTATTAAAATTTGAATAGGTATGTAAAAAAAAAACGGGAAAATTTGAGTGACAGAGCAAATTGAAATACGGTAATAATGACGGAAATACGGTATTAATGATGGGAATACGGTAATAATGATGTAGATACGGTAGTGCCGTACTAAGACTGATATAAATTTGCATCATTGTTGCTACAGTACCACTATATTTATGTTATATACATAAATTGAAATTGAAAAAAAAGGGAAAATTAAAAAAGAACCTGATAAAGAAATGTGAAAAACATGCATGCAGATGTCATTGCACAAAATCCACGTACAGCTATAATATCCGTAAAATAACCGATAGCAAATGATAAAACATCCGTAAAACTGGTGATAAATATTGCAACTGCTGATTCGGATAATGTATTTACCATACGAGCTTTTAGGCTACCATAATCAATTCCTTAAAAAAAATGTTAAAGAAAATATCAAATTATAAATTTGTACTAATTTATAATATTATTTAAAATTTTCCAAACTTTTAAAATTTTCCTTTTGGAGTAAAAAAATTTTTTAAATTTGCAAAATTTTCATTTTTAAAATATAAAATAATACTGATATTAAGATTGAAATTTGTCACGATGAAAATGAATGAGAATTTTGGCATTTATTTCATTATTCTAATTTTTTAATTTCATTTTTTTTATTTTACAGGAATTTAATAATTCAATATTTATTTTACGGAATTTAACATAATTCTAAATTAAAATTTAATATTTAGGAAAAATGGAATTTAATATTTGAAAAAAGAATGAAATGATAACATTTAAATATTGCTCTAAGAAAAAAAATAAGCCATTTTTTTTTAAAATAAAAAACAAAAAAAAAGCTTACCAGGATAAATTTTTTCAGCATCATGCCATGCTCCTACCATAATGAACATATCATCTACTCCAATAGCTTAAAATTCATAATTCATACAAATGCAACTTTAACAATTAACTACAGTAATACTAATTATTATACATTTCAATATAACACAATTGATAAATGATATATTTGATATGATATAATTAATTTGACAATATAATTAATATATCATTGTTATTATTCGACATATATTATTATATTAAATATATCCTAGGAAATGTAATTATTATAATTTCAAAATTTGCCAATGTAATTTTTATAAATGGTAGCTAATTTTTTATTTCAAAATAGCTCAAACATCTTATTTCAGGTAAAACGCAAATAAACCCATACACTAAACCAAATATTATTAGCACCTTCGAATTGAAAGCTCACTGATTGTTATCTTAATTTTAAAGCCTAAAATAAACTTGACGAGTAATTTCTAAAGTATACATCATGTTTTCCGTATAATCTTTAAATTAACCAATTTATGGTTGATAACATGCAACAACTTTGGTTTATCATACTTGAACCACCCAAATTTCGCAATATGAAATCGATTTTTTTGATCATTTTTGAAAATTCCGGTAAAAAAAATCTTTTAAATATGCTCCAAATTTTAACCGGCTAAGATTAAAATCTTAAAGAATTTTTTTTTATATTAATGATGACCTTTGTCAAATTTAAAACGGTGACCTTTATTAGTGCTTTTTTTTTCCTTTAATTTTAATTAATTTTTCATCGTAAATATTATAAAGTAAAATTAAATCTTACAAAGAACTAAAAATGGTGCTATAAGTGTTATTTCAGCAAAATACATTCCAAACCATAATAGTAAACCAATACCGCTTATAATTGCTAATGTTGATGATAGTACACCGGAAAGTGCTAGTAATGGCTTTGATCGAAGCCAATCAATTCGAACTGAAATGAATTCATCCCATAATTTTAGGATTAATTCAATGAGGAAGTAATAAGTATTATTTAAAACTGTATCAATCGAAATATATATGTATGTATATGATAAATTGATATATGATAAATGATAAATTTTTCCTTTTATATATATGATATGATAAATTGATAGCATGTGATATGATAAATTGATACTTTCGGTTATTTTTATCTCATTTGATGTCATATATTTGCATAACGCATATACCGGATAAGTCTTCCTTATCTTAAACTTACCGGAATTCATACTTTGACCATTGCAAAATTTCCATTCCATTGAATTGAGGGTACTAAAAATGATCAGGACAACAATTGTGACAATCAAATAGGGCTTCAATCGATTTGCATTACGTGTTAAGCCTTGATCAATTGTTCGTGAATGCTGAATGTGAACCTAAAATACATTTTTCATGATGATATTTAATACAAAAGTAATTGCTCAAAATTATTCCCCAAAAATACAAATCACAATTAAATTAAAATAAATGTAAAGTAGAATTTACAAAAAAAAAAAATTTTGAGCAATTTCTGTGATATATTTCTTGACCTCAAAAAAAAAAAAGAAAAAATGACCCTAAAAGAAAAACCTTAACCTTGACTATGATTTTAATCTTAAAAAATAGGTATACCAAAAAGAAAATTACTCAAATTTATTGTAAAATTAAACATAAATTTAAGAAAAATTCCAATTAATACTTTTTTTTCCGGAAATTTAATCGCATGGAAAATAGGAAAAAATTAGATGACCTCAGTTAGCGAATTATTTGCGAATTTCGCAGTGATAAATTTAGCCGCAGCATCTTCCCATGCGATAGCCATTTCATCAATTTGTGGTTCATCAAAGCGCAAAAAGTACCATAATCGCATACCTTTCACTGACTGCAAAATTTTCATTTAATTAAACATTTTATTGATTTTAGAAAATTTTTTAAAAACAATTTTTGCTTTCATTTTCGGTTAGAAAGTTAAATCAGTTTTTAAAATTTTAAATTTTTAAAAAAGGAAAGGAAGAAAGAGAGAGAGAGAGAGAGAAAGAGATGTATAAATGAGATAGCAATGAACACTGATCAAGGTGGTCTCGTGGTGTAGCGGTTATCACATCTGTCTAACACACAGAAGGTCGGCGGTTCGATTCCGCCCGAGATCAATCCTGACAACAGTTTTTCACTTTTGTGGAAAAAAAAAAAGCTGTGTGATGAATTGATTCTATTTATGGGAACAACGTTTAAAAAATTTTTTTGTATTCAAACATTTATTAATGCATAATGATAACATTAAAATAATTTACTGAACGAATAAGACAACTATTTGCTGAACAAATAACACAAATTATTTGTTAGGCAAATAGAAAGTGTCATAGTTTATTGTCACCTAATTCATTTCTTTTCCATGTTAACAGATAATTTCATCCATCAAAACTCCATCAATTGTCAATTATTTCGATTAACATTTAGTGAAATTTTCATCTATTCCATTCTCTCTCTGCTAACCTTCCACATTCTCTAATCCTCTTAGAATTGTCATTTACCCTCACTCTTTCTCTTTCTCTCTCCCACTCACCCACTTTTTTCGTCTCTATATCGCTGTCAATTTTTTCTCTCTTTCTCCATCGTTTCTTTCTTCTCAGTACTCTCAATTTTTTCTCCTTTTCTCACATCCACATATGATTTGAAATCGAAAAAGTGAAAAAAGTTGGACAACGGATGGAACCGTATAGCCCTCTGCGGGACTCGAACCCGCGACCCTCAGATTAAAAGTCTGATGCTCTACCGACTGAGCTAAGAAGGCTCCACTAGTTAAGTTTTATTTTAAACTTACGGTTAAAAAAATTTTTTTTTATTAACTAAATATTATAAAGTATGCTGAAAAAGTAATTATCCAATAATTACTTATCATTGTTATCATTGATAATTGTAGTAACTGAATACAATCATAGTAGTAATTGTATTGATGATAATGATAGGGAGGAAATGAATTATGATAATAAGAAATATTATAGCGAAAAAAGTTTTAAAACAATAATCGATAAGGTAAAGATAATAACCATTGATAGAAGATATATGCAATGATAAGATAACAAAATTATCAAAATCATGAAAGAATAATTAATTAGTGATATTCATTAGACAAGAATAACAGCATAAATAATATATTTATTATAATAATTTCCCCAATTATCTTCCCCCCCAAATAATTCTTTATTTTTTACTATTAGCTGAAATTTCAAATTTTTAAATTTCAAAAATTTTGAATTGCAAATTTTTTTTTTTTGCATTTTAAATCAATTCAATCAAGATCAATATACATATTTATAATTAAAATTTTAAAAATTAACCTTAATTGTATCATTTTCATCAACCTCTACACCACCAATATTATATGCTAAATATATTGGTGTTCCATTAGTATTAGCACGAGGATAAGTAATACTAATACCATGCTTTGCTAATTGATAACGATTTTGAAGTAATTTAATTAAATTATTTTGACGATAACATTCTCCATACCAATTCAAACATAAATCCTTTAAAAAAAAAAAAAAATTTTTAATCTTTTTTTTTTCTCCTCTAAAATTAATTAATTAATTCATGCAAAATTTGTATAAATCTAAAAATAAATTTAAAAAATTCATTTAGCATTATGAAAAAAAAAAACTCCAAAATTAATTAATTAATTTATGCAAAATTTGTATAAATCCAAAAATAAATTGAAAAAATTCATTTAGAATTATAAAAAAAAAAAAGGAAAAACTTTTTCCTTTCATTTTTATGATAAATATTTGATAAATACCTGAAAATAAATTTTTTTACCAAAATTTTTTGTACCATTGATATGCCATTCATCTTTCATTGTAAATGTAACATTTTCCGCAATACTTTTTTCCAATAATTCAATTTCATTCAAATATGAATCATTTAAAATATTTGGAAATGTACCATTAGGATATTTGCGCCCATGTATAACAACATACAAATAACGATTCCATTCAAATGTTCTTTCAGGTATAAATTCATTCATACGTATTGGCCATAACTGTAAATTTTCAATTTTATTAAAATATATTATTCAAAATTTGCATTTTAATTAATTAATTTATTTATTTTTTCTAAACTAACAAATATTATGAAACGAATTGATGAATATTTATTTGCAAAATTTTAGATTTTTCCTTTTTTTCTTTTTTTTTTATTAACATAATTTTCATCTAATAATTAATAAATGAATAAATTTTTATTACACATAATTTTTAATTCAAATTTATTCAAAAATTCAAAAATTAGCATAATTTTCACACAACGTTTTCATTTGAAAATTAATTTTTATTCAAAAATTCATTTAATTTTCATGCAAAATTTTCGTTCGAAAATTAATTTTCCATTCAAAAATTTTACTTTTTGTTTATTTATTTTTTCCTAAATTAAAAAACTGACTATATTATTTTGAAATGAATTTATGTGTATTTTATTTGTAAGGTTTTGGATTATTTTTTCTTTTATTACCATAATTTTCCCTTAAAAATTAACACATTATCATTTTAAAAGTGATTACAGTTGTTAAATCTGTTACAGTAATACTTCGTTTCTTTTGTCTACCATTTCCTATCGTATCACAGTTTTAATTTATAAAATAAGAAAAATTTTATTCAATTTCTCATATTCAGTATAAAATTTTTATCATTTCCTATTTTGATTTTTTTTTTTTTTTAAACTAACTTCTCGCATAATTCTTTCTTCCTTCCAAGCTGGCGCTGATGTTGGCGTATATAATTTTCGTGTATCAAGTAAAGTAAGTTCATTAATCCAAATGAATCCAATCCCGAGAATACCCGTAAGTAAAATTGGTAATGCAATAAATATCGGATAATAATCAATAAGATAATTACTTGTATACCATGCAAATAATTTTCCAAGTTTCTTATCCAATGTTGGCAAATAGTATCGCATCAAAAGTTGAAATATTATTTGGAAATTTATATCTTAGAGAATAATGTCATATTTCGATTTATTAATTCCGCATCACTTTTCATTAATAGTTATTTAATTGGACAAAAATTAATAAAATATGTTAATTTAATAAAAAAAAATTCTGTACCGTTACAATTACCGTAAAATTATCGCAAAGTTTATTTCTTATAGAGTTTATACTGTATTCATCATATTACTGTAAAGTTTACACTGTATTCATCATAACATATTAATAAAAGCAAAAATTAGAAGTAAGAAAATTGCATGCAATCGGGTAAAAGTAAAAAGTATTCCTGAAATTATCACTTATTTACATAAAAGTTTATTATGTTAATAAGCAATCATAACTGCAATTTTTCAAAAAAAAAAAAAAGAAAGAAATCCGATATCTAAACAATACCGGATATCCCGTGTTTAAACAATACCGGAATACTGGAAAAAAGAACCGGATATAAATGATCTTAAAGAATTGGATATGAATGGATAAGAAGGAAAGATAAAAATTAAGACATAAACCTAATCCTAAGCGATATCGAAAAACTATCACCTTTCAAAAAATAAAAACATAAAAAAAAATTAATAAAATATATATTCTACATCATATTTTATTTCATTTTTATTTATAAATATTTCAAAAAAAGAAAGATGAAGCAAAAAAGTACTGTACTCATACTGTATCCATTACACTACCGTAATGTTTATACTGTATTCATGATATTACCGTAAAATTTATACTCTATTCATCTATCATATTATCATTAAATTTTTTATAGCATTCATTATATCATATTAATGAAAATAAAGATTGAAAGTGAGAGAAAAAGAAAAGAAAAATTTAAGAGCAATTCGATAAAAATAAAAGTATTCGTGACTTTATCAATTATTTATACGAAAATTTTAATATAATCAAAATTATGAATTGATTAAATAAATTCAATAATTTAACTATATAAGCAATTTATATTAGCCAAATAAAATTTTGAAGAAATAATTACAATAAACTACCAACATTAAACGTTGAAAGATTATTGTCATCAACAATAAATATGAGAGAGGTTATTCTAGTTGAATGCACTGATTCAGTTAATTCATTTCCAGTTTATTTATTGCTAAATGGAAAATATATGTATATTTCAAACCGGATTATTACTTTTATCTTTGTATGAAAAGGAAAGAGAGAGAGAGAGAGAGAGAGATTTTTGGAAAATGAATGAAAAAAAAAAAGTAGAGAAAATGATTTAACAAAATAAACCTGTTATTAGAAGAAATACTATTCAGCAAAGCTATAGCCATTATTATAAAATATAAAATATATTAGCTAATCGATTATATCAATTTTTCCTCTTTTTTTTTTTTTTTTTTTTGCTTTTCAATCATACCAAAAATTCATTCATAATAATTGAATTAATCATTAAATTGGCTTATTTATGATTTATTTAAATTTAATATTATCGATTAACTTTTTTTTCAGCATTTCCTTCCTTTTTTTTTAAAAAAATAAAAAAAAACAAAAAAATTTTTCAAATAAATTTTGAAATTGTTAAAAAATTTTTAAAATACTATTTAATACTAATAAAATTTTTGAAATATTTTCCAAATATTTACATTTATTCATTTATAATTTCTAATATCATTACTAATATATGTGCCAGGGATTTTTTAAAAAAAAAAACTTTCAATTTATGAGATATATTTAATTGATTGTTATTGTTTTGTAAAAGTTGCATAGAAAGGAGAAACGATTGATAAGAACAAGTTAATAAATATGATAAAATGATGAATGGAACAAAAGGGATAATTAATTATTTGCAGGATTACAGAAATATAGTATTGGTTTGAAAAATTAACGATCTTTCGTTTCGTTTTTTTTTAATTTATCTTTGAAAAATTGACCTTTTCTTTCTCAGTTCTAATTCATCTTTTAGGATAAGAAGGAAATGTAAAATGAATAAAATTAAAATAAAAGCTAAATTATTAAAAGAAAAAAAAATTGAAAACGTGAAAAGATTCGGAAAAATTACCAAAAATTAAAACAAATTAGAATTTAAATGTATTAAATATTAACATTGATTTCGAATTTTCTAGTTGAATGATCAAAAATTGATTTCGAATTTTCTAGTTAAATGATCAGAAAAAAAAGAAAAAGTGAAAAAGTGAAAAGATTTGGAAAAATTATCAAAATTTAAAATAAACTAGAACTTAAAAGTATTAAATATTAACAATAATTTCGAATTTTTTTTTTTTAGTCGAATAATTGCACTAAAACATCAATTTTCATGAATTCTTAAAATAAATACTTTTAACATTTTACAAAATATAGAATTATTCTAATTTGATTAGAGAGAATAAACCCTTCACGTGTTGGGGGATTAGCTCAGTGGTAGAGCGCTCGCTTTGCATGCGAGAGGGCGAGGGTTCGATCCCCTCATCCTCCAGGCGAACATTTTTAACATGTATGTCACATTAATTTTGTCTGGAAATAACAAATGACTAAACGAATTAGGTACGAAATCTTTGAACGTAGAGAATTTTTCATTAAATTGAAATTTTTAACTTATATCTACTTATATAGCTTATATGTAAATGAAACTTTTGTACCCAAAAAAAAAAAAAAATTGTGAATTTATTGTTTTACAGATTGGAAAACTTGAAATATTTTAGTATTTCAAATATATTCAAATATAATATTTAGAAAATTTATACAATATTTACTTCTTGAATTTTTCCTGTCTAAAATTATCGTTGCTGAATTTATTATGATAAGAGACCTTTAGACAATATTGATAATACGGATAATTTATCAAATATGAATGTTAACTTGACGTCATTTATCAAATATGCATTATTCTGCTTATATAGATATGATATGATTGAGCAGATAAATGTTAAGCAGAATGTTATTCAAAATTAAATTTCCCATAATATGTACAAAGAAACAATGAAAACATGTTTTTTTTTTTTTTGTGTGCTATTGAATAAATAAAAATCGATATGAATAGGAAGTGATAGGTAATAATCATGTCTTTATTATAAATATTAGTGGGAATAAAAAAAAAGAAAAGAAAAATGCTAAACCAAAAAAATGGTTTGGTATTGTATTAAGTGCTATAATGATAATAATCTTGGACAATTAACAACAAATGGTAACTGTTTATAGTAAATTGATAAGTTTTGAAACAACTGTTCCGAGAGTGATAAATTAAATACATAGATGCAAAATGAAAAGAATCTCGAATCTTTTACCAATCCAGAAAATGACTATTCGACTGTTTCAGACAACATGATCCTCGTACAAAAAATGAACATAGATCCGGAATGCAAGAGATCAATTCAAAAAAAAAAAAGGGTCAAATAAACAGGTAATACGGAAAAGCTGAATTTTACCCATGCATTTTTTTTACAAATGTTCATCATTTTGACAAGTCGAAAGGTCATTCAGCAAAGGACGACGACATATATAAAGAAAAGGGAATTCCAATGAATAAACTTATCAAAATGACAAAATGCTCAAATTCCATAACGATGAAAATGTTATATGCAATAAGTTCTGCCCGCTTCGCTTGATCCTGAACGTGTTGATACCTAATTTTACTTAAACACGTGCATAGGTTGAACAAATTCGCCATTACGGACTAATCCTTACATTTAATCAGAATATGTGATGTAATTTTGATTTCTGCTATATCTTACTTGATAAAGTAAGATACAGCATCTCAAACAAGCCATTTCTTCATTGAATAATAATCACACATCACATTTAAAAAAAGAAAAAAGCACGCCATTACTTCCGGTGTTTTTCCGGAATGGAAGAAAAAACAGTTTTTTTATATGTAACACAAGCACCAAGCTTATTTCAGAACGGAAAACTATGATGAGAATTCAAAAGACGACCATAAATAGTCCAAAAAGCAAAATATGGACAAGATGAAATTCACATATACGAAAAAATCCTCTAATATTGCAGAAGTATATCAAAAATCGATATAAATCGTTAGCTTCCTATGGTTTTTTTCGAATTCTTCAAAGCACTTTCAATAACTTGCCCCAAACAACGGCCAAATTCTTTCAAAATTGCTTTCTCAATTTCTACTTGAGTTGCTCGCTCACTGGATTCAATTTCTTCTGCTTGTGCTACAAGACATAGTGTCGCTGCTTCTACCACTTCATCCGTCATATAAAACCAAGGCAACCTACAATCGGGAACGGCATAAATTATAAAAAGTCTTTGGTACAATAAAGATGGAGGAAAGAAAAAAAATAACTGCTAGAAGACAGTAATCATTTCAAAATCTGTTTGATAAAAAAACTATTTGTTATAACAAAATTTGGAACATCCTTTCAAATTTCTCGTCTAAAATTTAAAATAGAAACTAGGTTTTAGTGAAAAACAAAGCTGACGTCACATATTCTCATTATTTGAATAATACAATTTCTTGCAACAGTGGAACTTGGAACTAAAAAGAACCAGAAATTTAAAATCAACTTTCTTGATCAGCCAATACACACTTACGTTTTGGGATCACTCGGTTCTTGGACTTCATCATCGCTATCCTCATCGCTATACAATGTTGTCTTATGAAAATCTGCACTTCCCATAGTAGCAGCAGAACGAATATCAGTTAATGCCGTAGCTGATTTGGTATTTGCCAAACGTGCTGCCCGATCTGATTCGGTATTTCGACAACATACACATTTGCATCGATCAGTGCAAGGGACTTTTGCCTAAAATTGAAGCTGTAATTCATCAACAGTATTCAATACGGATTGTTACAGAATGATAATGCGACAATTTTTTGCAACGCTAGTAAATTATTCTAAGTATTCATAAAGACTTGAGCAGTCATTTAACAAGGGATCTGAAGGTCTGATAATATATTACTGCTTCCTTCGAATATACTAATATTTAAAGAATATAAACGAAATTTCTTGTCCGTCATTACCAGAGTCAAAATTCAATCTCATCCTAATGCCTTTTTTGGACAAAACAAACTAAATATGACTCTATGAATTAAATAAACTTACTTCATAACATTCGCAGTAATTCTTCAAACAATTCGATTTCTTGCAATGACATCCTTTTTGGTGCAACCGTTCTGGTTCTACTTGCCTATTGGTAGCGACACCTAAATAAAATATTATATCCATTAAGTGACGAATTTCGTCAAAATCGTGCTCAATTTGTTGAAAAGAAAATGGAAAATAAAAGTGCTATAAAGACAACTATATTTCATTACTCAGTGCTGAATCTGATTCTCATTACTAAAATTATCCGACTAACTGCTTTACACTATTTAATCGTGCATGCTAGCCATTTGTTATTTCAAAAATACCTTACAATGCCTACAATCAAACTATCCCGCTAATCTACATATAAATCAGTTATTAATAATTGATTTTTTACTGTTTGTTAAAATGCTACCGATTTTTGGCTTGAATGCATTCGGGTTGCGTTCCAGTGACAACCTAATAGCGCGCGTCCTTTCAATTTCATATTCAATTGTATTTTTGCAATCTTTGCAATCACAGTCATTGCAAAATTCCCCATTTGCAAAACAATCACAATATAATTTCAAACACATCGAACGCGTGCAATGACATGGTTTTTTTGAACCAAGAGGTCGTCTGGAAATAGAACAGAAGAATTCACTTATGTGATCATAAAAAATGCTCAAAGTAATATGTAAAATAAAAACGATGCTTACTAACGTTATTTTGCTACCTCAGTTTACACAGCCTAGAATCTTTTCAGTATCATAGCTGATACCTTGCTAAAAAAAAAAAAGAAAAATAAAAATAAAAAAACTACTAAGACATGAAATAGAGCTTAATACAAGCTCATTACTTGCTGGTAGCCGATACCATTACACAAATAAGAACTGTGTTTTTACTTGAACAGTTAAATGACTTAAATTACAAAAGAGTAAGAATCAAGAACCGTGGAATTTCAATTTCACGCTATGAAGTTATTATTAGCATAAAATGAAATCGAACTGGGAAAAGAAATCACTTCTTTGGAGCTAATTTAGCTGCCAACACTGGAGTGAATACCCTGTTACGCTGGATGCTAGCCTGAGCAGCTCGGTATGCCAAAGGTGGACTAAGAGGCCCAGTTTGTAGCAGTCTTGATTTAGATGGTACTTCGCGTCCTCGCCAATTTGACTCGGTTTTCTGAAAATACGAACAACAGTCAGGAAAACAGTGCTTCGTACATACTTGAACATTAAAATTTCAAAGTACGAGAATTTTTCCCTAAAAAGACCTAACAATTTCATAAAGTCCAGTTCTACAAAATAACCATTTATTAATCTTCTACTTACCGAGAAATCCTCAAGTGAAATTATTAAAACCGTAAAACTTACGATCTGGTCAGCGGCTCCACGATTCGTCTCACTAAGTGTACGCACTGGTGTTGTGGTGGTTGAACCACCTGATCGATCAATACGATATATCTGAAAGAAAAAAATTGTTTGAATCAAATATTCAGCTTTAAAATAAAATTGAACAAACCAAAAAGTTATACGGTTTCGTTTGTACTTGTCCATTAGAATGTATGAAACTTCCGGATGTTATTCTGATGGGAAATTGTTTTAAACTTAATACTTTACATCTCGGTTTTAATACAGGATTTTTCTCAATTCATTTTAAGGCCTAATTTAAGTTATGGACTAAAGGAATGATATGAACTGAAAAGTATACATTATCAAAGCAAAAAAAGGATGAATAATACGAATTTCGAAGGACTTAATACTAATGCATAACCAAATTCAGTAGGAATGGCTTGTTGCGAACAGCTTATGAAAAGTTTGAAGAGTTCTACCCTATTTCCTCGAACGGCGAAAACATGTGCCGGGACGACGCGTCCCGTCTGAATCTGTCCCATTTCGGAACCGCATAACTGGCTGTCGCTTGGTTCTCGGACACTTATCTGAAATTTTAAGACAAAAAATTAATGCCCAGTTTACTTAATAGAATACAACTCCATTTAATACATGTATTCATTGATGTCGTAATTATAACCATATGTCATTTAATTTATTTCATACCTACCTGATCACATGTACAATTAATTCAATGACTGGAAATATTACCCTCTCATGTGGATCATCATATGGAGAATGTCTACTTCCCGATGGCATACTACTTGCACGTGACGGGTAAACCACCCTATACGAGCCATCAGCTGAAAATTTTCTTAGGGAATGTATTAATCAGTTCAGGCAAAACATAATGCAGTAAAACTCCTAGTAAAACCGATAATTAAATAAGTGTATAAGTGATAATTGCTTATCCTTCATAGGAATATTCAAATGAATATACGGAAATAAACATAAACACCTTGCAATCGATATTCCACATCATCCTCAACTTCACCTTCCACGTCAACTTCTTCCACAATTTCTTCGGAAATCTAAATTATCAGTTGCCCAAATCAAGGATTTCGAATATTTGTCGGAAATTTTTTGAGATTTATTCAATAGCAAATAATCCGTAGTATCAATCCTTACAAAAAGCTATGTCGAAACCCCAAATATTACGTTCCACTTACTTTGTTTGAGCAATTATGCTTCAAAACTTACTAGATTGATTTCAAATCCTTCCGCAAAGCTTACTACGTAGGGTTCAAAAGTTTGCAAATTTCGGTGCAATAAATTTCGAAAAGCTGTCTGCACTAAACAGTCACTTAAATGACTTTATGCCAGTCAAGTAAAAAAGTAAACTTCGAACATCGTTCACTTAAACCTGCTTTGCTTCTTCAAATTTATTTAGTTTAGTTCAGAAACTTACCATCCTAGCAGAATCTAGACTTAATAACTTAATTTGATTCTCTGAGATTTATCTGGCATGAATGGGACTGTCTTTCAAAATATAATCTACATATTTCAGATTATTTATTACAATCTACCACGCGTGTTTTATCTAAGCCGCTTCTCAAACCTTATTTGATTTAATCTAAAACTCTTCGAAATTCCAGTTAAATTATCATTGTCTTGAAATTAGTTAAATTTCTTAAAAACGGTCTTCCTTAAATGATATCCAAAAAAAGGTTGAACTATATTTAAAGAAAAGTAAAGCTGTATTCATTACTACCTGTGCATCATCGACAATTTCATCCGTAACCACCTCTTCCTGAACAACTTCTTCATGAGCAATCACCTGTTGCTGTTGCTGCTTCGACAGCTCTTTTTGACGTCTATTACCACTAGACATCGTTATCGTTTCCACAAATTAATTTATCTGCAGCAAAGTCGGCATCACCAATTCCATTGAAAAGTTTCGACAATAGTCGGACAAGAAAAAGCCTACGTTAAAATAACAACATTTATTAAGTTTAAGTAACAGAATGATGTGATAGCAAAAATGTGCAACAAAGCTTAACACATCATAATAATTTTTCAGAGCACGTACGCCAGAATACTATGAAATAATGTCGATTAGTTGGCATTAAAGATCACAGTTATAAATCCATACTTATTGGCCGAGGAATTATAAATGATGGAACAAAAATCTAATATTCCCAGCTACTATCATTGGTTTGTGAAAATTAAATTCCGAAATTTTACCTTTTCTGTTTGACGAATGCTACTGGAACGATAGCTGTATATTTTTTTCAACTTAATGTGAAATGTTTCGACGTTATACGTCAATTTCGACGGTTTCAATCATACCGTGCCTATAACAAAACATAAATGGTAAGCGTCAATATGTAAATTAAGATAAGCGTCCATACGACGTGAATTTCAAACGCGAATACGTGAAAGCATGCAAGATGTGGATATGCTAAACTATAAGAAATTAATGGACATGTGAGTAATAAATATAAATACCTGAATATATAATCAATGAAAAATGACACATACATTTCTGTAAACATCAAAAACTTAGGAAACAGTAGAGCACATATGGGAACATTAAAAACAAGTGTTTATCATCAGTTAAATACGAATGATCATTTGATCATTAAGAAAAAGGTATAAGGAAAAGATATATGAAAAAGTATAGGGAAAAGGAATAAGGAAAAGGTATATGAAAAGGTATAAGGAAAAGGTATGTGAGTGAACAATAAATGCAAATATATATCCATAACTATAATGAAGTAAACATTATAAAAGGAACAAAAATAATATTGAAAGCGACTTGAAATGAGATCATGTGGTATAATATCACGCGTCCACGTTCATAAATAATATGTTTATAAATTAATGTTTGAATATTAACGTTTCATATTTACGTGATCAACGCTGCAAAAAAAAAAAAGCATAAGCATAATGATAAAGTTCACTAGTATAAAATAAAATTTAAAATTTCGATAAAATCTATCAATCAGACTGAAAATTATGTATAATAATATGGAAAAAAATTATAGCAAATATCAAACAACTTACAATTTTATGTAAATAAACTTAATTTAATAGACATAATCATAATGTAACATGTATGTCCAGACGTTGGTGACAACAAAATTAACGTTTCAAACATTCTCCCGCACCCCAAAAAATCGAATCAACTAGAAGCCGCGCCAATTTAAAATGAGAAACGACAAAAGGATACAGCCAAATAGCCGATAAATTTTTATGACAATTAAACAATATTAATAATTAATGAGATAGGAGGGGGAAAAAGAGACATTTTTTTTTTGAAATTCAAGTATTAATATTGATTAAAATAAACTACAATATTATAATACACCAGAAGATAATTGCACCAAAATATTTATAAAAGATATTAAAGAAGTTTATTAAATTTAAAGCTTTTCACAATTTACTTTGCAAAATTTGATCCAATTAAACTTACAAAAATTTATATTTCACTTTTGTCCTTTGGTTTTATTCGTCATTGTCAATGTCATTTGTCAACGAGCATTTATTCATTTATAACTATCTCTATTCAATTATGCATTGTTATGAACCTCTGATTGATTAAATGGGAAAAAAAAAGTAAAAAAGAGAAAATGTATGTTTCTAAATATGTTTAATTTGTACAATACTTATGGTTATACATTATTTGTTATCGTTCCATTTTCTATGCAAATATAGAGAATGACTGATTTCCTCCTACTGTAAAATACGATATCTACATATAATTGTCTATATAAGAAGCAATCGAATGTCTGATTTCCTCCTACTGTAAAATACGATATCTACATATAATTGTCTATATAAGAAGCAATCGAATGTCTGATTTTTTCCTACTGTACAATGAGATAACTACATATAATTGTCTATATGAGAAGCAATCCAGTGTTTAGATCTAAACTATAGAATTTTAAAAATTGTCACCTGAGTTTTATTAATGATGATTGTAAATTGCTTACCAATGGAAATAGGAATTGTAATCC